TCTAGTGGTGAGATATAGTCTGACAGAAAAATTGCAGCTCAGCAACATTATGAGATCGCAACCGATGTCTGACAGAGAGAGAGAGAAACCAACTGATGGGAGCTCTGTACACAATTGTCCAATGTTCGACTTTCGAACGGTTTACTTCGAGCACGCGTGCATGAGAACCACTAATCGGAGAGTGAAACAACGGATCAGCTGAACAAACAAACATACAAACCAGATAGATAACATCCACACGCGATCAGTTTCGGTGACCATGATCGATAGAAAAGCGTATTAAAGGTGACGAAAGATTACAAAATGGTGGTGATGATGCCAAATCCGTATCGTACGTGTGCCCGCAGCATTCCATGTGAGGATAGGGTATGGATGCCATACTACACGAGTGAACAGGGCGAGTGTGAAATAACAAAAAAAGCGTCAACCGACGAAGAGTGTCACCAAAGGACAGTGTCCAATTGCGTATGTAGGTGAATACATGCAAACGAGCAAGGGACGAGGTCAGTTGGGTTACTGTTGCACACCGCTTCCTGCATTTCGAATGTAGGCCGTATAGTGAGTGTGTCCCGCACACACACGCACATGCACCGTGGATAAATTGATCGGAAATTGATATGTGGTCAATCTATAGGGAGCACGTTGGCGATTTCGCAAGTGTCAGCTACGCGAAGGAAAATAATAGTGCTCCTCGCGACTGTTCAGAAAAGTTCTGATATTCAGAGAATAATAAACGGGTGTGATTTGCAAACAACCATCAGAGTGCAGTACGTGAACCAGAAGAAAGTTCATGAGCAACTGTATACAACACTCAGTAATGCCACTGAAGTTTAACAATCAAATACATTACGGATCTATGATACCCTGACTTGGACTGCACAGATCAAANAATGCCTTACAAGTCATGGACCGATTCGAATTTTCTAGCCTCATTCATCTCCGCTAATCATTAGTGCGTTCAGTAAACCGAAAAACCCATTTGGATGATAAAAAAGAAATAGGCCTTGGAGCCAGCGTAAACACATTCCCTAGAAAAGTACGTGACAGTTGACTTAGTTGCCCCAAGTTCGATTACTCAACATCTTACATTCGAACTCAGTATTGTGGAATCAGTTGTGACGAAAGCAATGGGAGATGGAACGCATAAAAAACCAGGCAATGTAATTGAGTGATGTACCTCACAAAACAAGTCCTAATTTATCCATTTGATATTTTGAACATGTGTGATACACTCCCCGAGAGGGTCAACATCAACAGCTACCACAAAAGAAAACAAACCTGGTCGGGAAAGGTCGAAATGGGATCAGTGTAGCGCAGTCGAGTGAGGCAACTACTTGATTGGAAATGATGTGAACTGAAAACAGCACAGCAATGATTCGACACAGACAAACCCATTACCGAAGAGCAACCAAACTAGTGTTTGAGTCGATCATGCATGGCCGGTCCTGTGGGAAAGAC